AAAATGCAGTTCAGTGGCAGAGCACTTGCATGGCTGGGTTCCTGGACTCAATCCCCCAAAATACTGTAGGTCAGTAGGAGGTATTAAGTAAGAGTCACTAGTACCAAAATACCAGCAGAAATGAAAATATTCCTAAGCAGGTCCTCCCTGCTTCAACTTTTATTTTCCTCTTTATTCATCAGGCAATCAGGGGATCTAAAGAGAGGTTTTTCCCTGGATCATTTTCATGAAATAGATCATTGCTCACATTGGAAGCAGTGTCCCCTCTACTTTTAAAAGGCAAAACTCTTTTATCTTCCCTATATTGTGAAGGCCAGCACCCCAGCATCAAAGTTAAATGTGAGAACCCTGAAGCTAGCCGGAAACATACAATGTGAGCTGTTAATTGGACTGGGAGGCAAACAGGCCCAAGGGAGAGGTAGTTCAGGAAATGAATCTTAATTACTGTTATTTGTACAGTCAAACCCAGTATTTCTCCAATCAGCTGGTGGGATGAATGTGGACTGAGCAAGAGGGGTGCCTTTGAAGACTCTACATCTGACCTTCTCATTTGTTCATGAAGGAAAACACAAGATGTTGGTTTTCAGGCAGGCCAAGGAGGAAGCTAGGCTGGGTCAAGACATCTGAGCCACAATGCCTCTTAAGGGGAGTTAACACCCTCCATGGAGGAGGAGGATTAGGCAGCACTATACCTGAGCTCCCAGACAGAAGCTGGTGGGGTGAAGGCAACAAAATATAAGTTTCTGACAAAACACTGAATTCCTGATTAGTGGTTATAGGAGGAGGTTAGAGAAGGAGAAATTAGCCCACAGGGGTGAGCAGGGCAAAGCCTGGTGGCAATGAGGGTACATGCCTGGCAGAGTTGGGAAGAGCTGGCAATCATGAGCCGCCCTGGTGAGAAATGGAGCAATGAAGTAGAAGACAGCCATAATGCCTATCAGCCCAGGGCAGAATAAAAGCAAGAACTGCTTCCCCACAGGAGACAGACAGGAGCACCTTCTCTTGTGGCACTCCTAGTGTGGCTCATGAGCCACCATCATGGGCATCCTGGGAATTTCTAGGTTCAGTTCTAACCCACAAAATCCCATCTGGAACCTATACCGTAAGATGCTCCCAAAGTGACCATCAAAAACCAGCCCAACGGCTGGTGCAGATTTAAATTCAACCCTTGACTAAATTACACCATGTCCCATGATGAAAGCCAGAGTCCCCAGATACTTATTCTAAGGGCCCCTTAAATGATGGTGAACACAGAGAGATCAAACACAACTTTGGTGTAGCAACATGATCGAGACAGACTAGGACTTTGTCCTGAAGACCTTTTTAATACAGAAATATGCTAACAGACATCCTCAGGAAAGAAAGCACACCCAGGGATGAGGGATGTCAGGTGACCTTTGTTTCTCTGTCCTATTCTAACTTTGCAGGTTTTCAACATTAAGCCTGAATTTCATAAGTCTTATTTCCTGGGCCATAGGTGTTTATTTTTTGTGGAACTGGGGATAGAACCCAGAGTTTAGACAAGTTAAGGAAGCCCTCTACCACTGAGCTACATTCCCAGTCTGCCTAAATTTTTTAATTAGATGAATATGCAAATTTTTAGTAAATAGAAAATCAAATAATAGAAATTTATAAACCAGAAAAAAATTAAAGCCAACTTAATTTGTTACATCCCACATAAAATATGACTGCTGTATTTATAAAATATGTTCTGTCAGTATAAATTAAAGATAAGGGGGCTGGAGAGATGGCTCAGTGGTTAAGAGCACTAGCTGCTCTTCCAGAGGTCCTGAGTTCAATTCCCAGCAACCACATGGTGGCTCACAACCATCTATAGTGGGATCGGATCTGATGCTCTCTTCTGGCATAAAAATGTACATGAAGATAGAGCACTCATATACGTAAAATAAATAATCTTTAAAAAAATTAAATTAAAGATAAGAATGACTCTAGCAAAATCAACAATTGTCAGATAAATGACATAAAGTGAATTTCAATAATAGCTATGATAAAATGGTCTAAACCTCACTCTCGGCTGCTGCAGTAAACAGACCTCACCTTGCCATGGGGAACATACTACTGTGTTGTCCTGAAGAAGAATCACACCACTAGGTGGATAGGCCACTGTTTCAAAGTGACTTGTCATCAGGAAGAGGAAGCTTTGCTGATCAGGGTGAGCAAGTGTGGTATCTGCAAAGACACTTAAGAATCTACAGTACTCAGTTCCACTGAGAGCAAAATGAAACCGTGCTGGACCCAGTCCTGGAAGCGTGGCCTCTCCATCTCTACCCAGCTCCTTAGACCACTCATGCTTCACATGCCATCACAAGAAGTCTACTTTAAAGAAGGGAACATAATACACTTATTATCAGATTTCTGTATTTTAAATGCCCAGGTATCTGAAGTCTTGCTGACCCAAGAGGGGCTGCCCCATCCAAGGCTAGTTAATGCCTAGAAATAGCTATTTTCCTGATAGCAGAACTTCAACCAAGCCTCCCATCCATGCTAACCTCCTCCTGGCCCTTCACTCCAGAAAGGAACATCCTTTACTAATTACCCCAGGTTCTGAGTTAGACTACCCACCCAGAGCCCACTGAAATTACCCTGCCCACTTCACCCCCAACATGCACACACTGCATGTGGACCTTTCTCAAGGAAGCCACAGCAAAGGAATAAGTCCAACCTATCTCTATGGCTTCCCAGGTAGCTGAATGGTGTGCCTTGCCCCTTTCCTCTTGACAGCTGTAACAACTATTTTTGCATTGTAGTTGTCCCTTGGTCTCCTAGCCTCACCATACCCGAATAGTAACAGACCTTACATTTCAACACACACACACACACACACACACACACACACACACACAAGTTTAATTTTTATTTCTTAATCCCATAAATTTTCCTTAAGGCTTCACCACCTACTCCCAATTATATATGGGCAGATGGCAAGTAGAAAGAACACAGCACAGATACTAATGGGAAATTGGGAGTTCTATGGTATTTAGCTTTCTTTTTTATGAACAAATACACTTGGGGTCCTACCTGATTCTTATCTCTAACTTCCTCAGTGAACACAGTACAAGCAACATGCTTTGAAAATAACACACCCTGAGAGTAGGACTCAGAGTTGAGTCGATGCTCTAATGAAATAAAAAATAAAATGCATCTTTACACAGCAAATTCTTGAAACCTTCCAGCATCCAGAATGAACTAAAAGCAAGCACAGTTGTCAGTGTGGCAGAAATAGGTATAAATCAGAACCACAGGAACTTTCTGCCCAGCACCCACTATGCAATAGTGGCCTCCATTCTTATCACTCCTCCAGTTCTAAGCCCAAGCCCTACCCATCCCACCATCCCACTCCCACTCCTGTCAAGGGTTTTCTCTTACCCTCCTCCACTTTTTTTTTTTTTGGTTTTTCAAGACAGGGTTTCTCTGTATTGTTTTGGAGCCTGTCCTGGAACTCGCTCTGTAGACCAGGCTGGCCTTGAACTCACAGAGATCCACCTGCCTCTGCCTCCCGAGTGCCGGGATTACCAGCTTCTCTTACTCTTAACAAGAACTCTATACTGAATCACAATCCCTTTTCAGAAATGTGTGTCAATGAAAGGTCAACTATTGCAGAAACCTGTTTCAGAATGACCAAAATACTGATCTCTGACCCCAATACTGATCTCTGACCCCAGAGTCCATTTGGCTTCAAAAGCCAGTTTTCCCTTACCAAATCTCTGGGATATCTAGAATATACTGTTTTGACCTCTCTTGCACCTGCCCCATAAAAAAGGCTAAAGTCAAGGAGACTTTACAGACAGTATATGCAATGAGGCCAGCACAGCAGCCCACTGGAGGCTAGCCTTTCTCACCTGCCCTCACTGAGGGCCAGTGCAGAAGGTTGCTCTGCAGACACAACCGCTGCCATATTATTCAGAAAAGCATTCTTAAAATGTTCTCAAATAATGGAAAATTGAATGTGTCAGATAGGATCCATTTAATATCTTAATAACCCTTGCTCTACATTGGATTTTGAGTGTCCCCCAAAGGCCATGTATCTCGCACCAGACTACAGGCTAAAGAGAGGAAAGAAAGCAGAACCTTCAAGCAGTACAGCCTAGTGGAAAGAATGTTGTGGGGTGGGTGCCCTTGAAGGGAATTTGGGACCCCCAACCTCTTCTGTGTGTTTCTTAACTGTATGGTTACATAAGATGAGCCCATCTCCTTCATATGTATTCCTCCATGATATATCACGCCATTGTAGGCCCAAAGCAACCGATCAAGTGACTGAGGCCTGCCCCTCTGAAACCAAGAGAGACTCAATCCTCCTCTTTTACATTACCTCAGGCATTTGTTACAGTACCAGAAAACAGACTAACAGGTAGGGTCCTCAGCTATTGGCACGGATTTATTTAATCCTTCCACAGCCCACAATGTAGGTACTCTCAAATACTTCTCCCGAATGAGAAAGTATCACTTTCAAATTTGTGTTACTTTTAAAATCACAACAAAAATCAAAATGTATGATGGTTTTGAAAAATTCATGGGAATGTAAACTAAGTAGCAGATACAGGATAGAAGAGAGAAATGGGAGTAACAGCAAGTCTGTTTATTCATAAATGAGAAAACCCGAGGGACAGACATCAAGTAACTCTCCTAAAGTTCTAAGAGATGAGCTTCATTCCTTACTCTCTACTCTGCACAGTTGTGGCACCTCCTCTAGCATGGAGCAGCCACCAAGAGCTGCCCACATGTGGCATTAGTTTACTGACCTGACAAAAGCAACTTAAGAGAGGAAGGGTTGACAGGTGGTAGTGGCCCACCTTTAATCCCAACACTTGGGAGGCAGAGGCAGGCAGACAATGACTCTGGCTTCTGGGATGGGGGTGGGGTTCATTGTGGTTCCCAGCTCAAGGGTCCCAGTCTACAATCAGAAAGCAGAGAACTCACACTCAGCTGTAGCAAACGGTGATTTCACTCAGTGCAGGGTTTCCCACTTGCTCTGCACTGACCTTAGTGTTCTTGACAAGGAAGCTGCAAAGCATCCCAGCCAAGGCTTCCAAGGACTGGAGTCTCATTTCCTCAAACTCAACTTGCTCAGAGTGGCTTACTTGGTGGCTTCTCTTTCCACTGCTTAAGGAAATCCCAGGAGACAGGAAAACAAAGATGCCCTTCCTCTGAGGGACAATCTGCTCTCTGGGTAATTGCAACAGCTTCATTACTCAAACTTTGTATCTGGGCCCCACAAAAAGAAAAACAAATAAATTATTTCTCCTTGCATTTCTGTCTTCCAACTCCTTGTTTGTACCTTTCCAAAGGGGTTGGGCAGTTTTTAAACCACTCGGAATAAATAACAAACATCAACAAAGGCAACTGCTCATTTATGCAGCATTTGCTGCCAAGTCCTGTGACAGATGCTATGACGTGTGGACAGTTTCTCCCAGCTTGTGAGATAGTCACTGTCATTACCTCTGGTGAGGCTGTGGGAAGCCTGGACTCTTGGCAATGAGATATCCACAGTCATATCTCTGCAGAGGTGAGGACAGGACCAAGCTTAGGAGTAATACCAAAGTCAGCCTAAGAAACTGTCCTACCACATTCACCAAAGTGGAAAAGAACAGGAAAATTACACTTCAGACATGTTCATGTGTACAGGTACACATGTGTATCCTTGCATGTGAAGATGTTACTCCTCAGGTGACATTGACCTTTTTTTTCTTTTTGAGACAAGATCTCTCAGTGGCCTGGAACTGGCCAAGTACTCTCATCTGGCTGGTCAGTGAACCTGAGGGATCTACATGCCTGGCCAGGACTGGATTACAAGCATGACTCAATACCTGGCTTTTTTATGTGGGCTCTAGGACTGGAATTGGGTCTCATGCTCAAATACTTTATTGACTGGCCTTTTTTCTCTCCAGGCCCAGAACCACACTTTTTAAAAAAGAAATCAATAATTACTTTTTAAAACCCAATCAAAATGTATTTTCCAATAAAGTTACTGTTTGATAAATGAATATATACGACTAGTGCTTGAAGATGATCCCTATGGTGGGGAAGTGTGCTTCTGACAACTCCAGGGCTCAGGGCAGTCTTAATGACATATGGATGGTCTGGTAACAACTGCTACGGATGCTGTGATTGTGTGTAAACAGAACTATCTCTCAGAATCTATTGTAAGCCTGTGCTAGTAACAATCAGATCTCTAGGAATATTTAAGCTCGATATTACTCATAGAGATGAGTCAATCATCTCAGAAAAATCAGTCGCCAGTCCCCAAAGGACACTCCTCTGCTAGGTGACTGCCAAGTTTCACCACATTGAAACCTCAAATGAGTTCTATAGGACAATGTTTAAAAATAAAGAGAGAGGTAGCCTGCCAGTTAAGATCACTTAGTGAGTGCTCTTACAGAGGACCTGAGTTTGGTTCCTATCAGGTGGCTCACAAGCACCTGTACCTTCAGCTTCAGGAGATCCCTCAGTTCTGGCCTCCATGGGCACCTGTACTCAAGTGCACAGACCCACATTTACTATCCTAGTTAGTATTCTATTGCTGAGATAAAACACCATGACCAAAAGAACTTGAGGAAGAAGGAGTTTATTTTATCTTACAACTCTCAGATCAACGTATGTCACTAAAGAAGTCAGGGCAAGAACTCAGAACAGAAGCCTGGAGATCATGGAGGAGGAGCACTGCTTACTGGCTTAATCTCATGGATTACTCAGGACCCCTTGTCCAGGGGTGGCACTGCCCCTAGTGACTGGGCCCTTCCACACCAATCATTTATCAAGAAAATGACCCAAAGACTTGCCTGTAGGCCAATCTGAAGGACGAAACTCTCAATTAAGATTCCCTTTTCCTAAATGTCTAGATGTGTGTCAAGTTGAAAAAGCCAACACACATACACACACACACACACACACACACACACACACACACCATTAAACAATAATAAAAACCTGGGCATGGTGGTACATACCTAGCACTTGGGGGTAAAGGCAGACAGATATCTGTAACTTTGAAGGCAGCCTGATCTAAGTAGAAAGTTTCAGGCCAGCCAAGGCTACATAGTGAGAGCTTGTCTCAAAGCAAACAAATAAACAAAAAAAGCAACAAAAACAATAACTTTTAAGTAAGAAAGGTGAGCACTCAGAACTATATCTGATCATTTACAGACAGTCTTGTCAACATAATGTAATGAGGGGAAGAAAAGTCATTTCAAAGTATTAGACTAGACCTGAGAATCTAAATTCAGAAGAATGAAGTTGGACATTTTCTTGAGTGTACAAAAAGTTCATGCTAAGTTCTACATGCAAGATCTAAAATGATGTAAGTCTTAAAACAAGACTTAACCCTTTATTTGTGTAAAAGAATTTTAGCTAAAAGATCTACTACAGCACAACCAAAAACAGAAAGAGGATTTTATGTATACGTCACCAAAATTAATAACTTTTCTATTGCAAGCAATATCAAAAGAGACAACTCACAGAATGAAAGTATTTGCAAATCATCCACCTCAGGGGGTACATACCTGGAATCCAAAATACATGAAGATATCTCAAAACTCAGGACTGGGAAAGGATCTAAGCAGGAATGTCTCCAGAAGAGGTACAAACGGCCAATAAGCTCATGAAAAGACACTAAGCATTCTGAGTCATGAGTGCTGTGCAAGGAATGACAGTGACAGGCTAGTGACACATAGGTTCTGAATAAATTCACAGACGTAGAGCTAAGCTGCAGCTGGAGTGTTCTCTGGATGGATATGCTTAGAGGCAGGAAAAGCTCTTTTCACAGTGGTTAAAAGGAAAGACAGTAGGTCTTATGGGCCAGACATCTGTGTGGGACTCCTATCTGGATGGCTAGGCAGACATTTAATTCTGCTAAGATGTGAGCGCTCTAGTGTGGCTTCTCCCTTCTTAAGACCAACTATCTGTGCAATGTGGCACAGTATCCAACTCCTATTCATGAAAGACTAACAGCCTCACAATGCTGTCTAGAAAGACTGAAGCCAGGCTTGTGTGAGGTCAGTTCTTCTGGTTCTGAGAATGTCAGGAGTTGGCAGGGAAGAGGCAATCTGACAAGAGGCCACAAAAGCAGAGAGGCATGACCATGGAAGAATGCTCCTTACTGGCTTAATCTCGTGCCTTGCTCAGGACAACCCAGGACCACCTGTCCACACAGCAGCTAGACTTCAAAGAGAAGTAACACCCCGGCTTTGCATCTGGGAAGCAGGCTCACTTGCCTTTGTTATCTCCCTGGGCCAAGGACCATCTGGACCAGCTAAGAGATGAAGTAATGGGAGAGGGGAGGAGAAAATTAAGAAAGAAAAGGGGCAGGATCAAAGAGGAGAGAGTCCAGGGGCCCTATAAAAGACTAGCTCAGGGTACACTAAATGTACCATGCCAAAACACTGCTTTCTGCTTCTACTTCAACAAACATCTATCTTTACCTCTCCTGAGTTCTTGCAATTCATGTAGCAAATGCCAGTGTCAAATTTGAGGTTATCATCCTCAAATATTGATGGCAAGTCCCAGGCCAGCCTGGGCTACAGAGTGAATGCCTGCCTCAAACAATAACCAACAATGGAAATAACTGAAATGGTCACTAACTGATAAATGGAAAAATATAGTACTTTTCATAGAAAGGAATGAGCTAACATAGACAACATACACAAACCTTGAAAACACACACGGGAGAAAGCAGTTACAAAGGCCACCTGTGATAAGGTTCCCTTCATACAAAAGGTGCAGAGAATAGGCAAAGCCATGGAGATGGCAGGTGGCTTAATAACTGTCAGGACGTGAGTTTGGAGGGACACTGGCATTAACTCACTGATCACAGTGACAGAAGTTCATATTGTGATAATGACTACACAGCTTTAGATATTCAAAGAAACACTGAACTGTGTATCTTAAATAGATGGGCTACATGATACATAAACACCATTTCAATAATTCTTTTAAAGTGCACTCTTTAAATTTATGTGCATATATATCCAGGGGATGGGGTACACAGCATATATGGAGGTAAAGGACTTTTGGGGAGTCAGTCCTGTCCTCTACCATGTGGGTATCAAGGACCAAACTTAAGCTGTCAGGCTTGGCAACTCTTCCCACTGAACCACTCCCAAGGCCCTCAATAAAACATTTTTAAAATTATAATAACTTTTAACTGGGCATGGTGCTGTACACCTATCATCCAAGCAACTGGGAGATGTGGGAAGGAGAATCGGAAATTCAAGGCCATCATCAACTACACAGTAAGATCAAGGTCAGCCTAGGCTACATGCAATCATTTCTCAAAAACATTTTGGGGTTGGAGTTATTATGTAGGCTTGAGCATGAGGAATAAACTAAGAAAGAGAAGCATTCAGAAGGACAGACAGACAAACCTGAGAGCATGACTGCAGGCTTTTCAAAGAAGTCTAGCTGATAGCAAGACATGGGCTACCCAGGAAGAACTGCTGCGGTTTTGTTGTTGTTGTTTGTTTTTTAAGAATTATTTTATTTGTGGCCTGGAGTGATGGCTTGACATTAAGATCACTTGCTGCTCTTGCCAAGGACTTGGGTTTGATTCCCAGTACCCATATGGTGGCTCATAGTCATCTGTAACTCCAGTTCCAGGGGATCTGATGCCCTCTTTTGACCTCTGAGGGTACAAGGCATGCATGTGATACACAGGCAAACATGAAGGCAAAACACCCATACATATAAAAATGAATAGTTAATTAAAGATTTATTTATTTTGGTTTTTAGAGACAGGGTTTCTCTGTGTAACCCTGGCTATCCTGGAACTCACTGTGTAGACCAGGCTGGTCTCCAATTTACAGAGATCCACCTGCCTCTGCCTCCTGAGTGCTGGGATTAAAGGTGTGCACCACCACTGTCCAGCAAATATTTATTTTTACTTTTAAGTATGTTTGTCTGTGTTGTCTATGTGAATGTATGCTCACATTTGTGCCGGTTCCCCAAAGGTATGTCAGATGCCTTCGAGCTGGAGTTACAAGCGGTTGTGCGCAGTCTGACCTGGATACTGGGACCCAGAGCTGAACTCTGGTCTGCTGGAAGACCAGGAAGTCTCTTAATTGCTGAACCACCTCTCCAGCCACATCCCTCACCACATCCTTAAAAATTAAAACCTAATCTGTTATCATCCTTTTAGGATAAAAAGGTGTTTCACACTTTCAAATAATGATACTAAAAAAAATCTTGTGGCTAGCAAAATGGAGCATTCTCC